TCAAAGAAAATGAAGAAAAGGAAGAATACTTTACAAATAATTTTGAGCTTAGTTACAGTTATGGTTGTGATAGTTGTTCTTCAAACAGTTTTGTTTTTCATTCAAATTCAAAGTAAGTACAGTTTTCAAAAGCTGAATGATTGAATTACACACGACGGATGCCCCATATAAGGCAAGATGTGCTCACCCTTCTGGAGCACCTGTAAGCATCCCAAGGTTTTTGTTGGGTTCGTGTTGCAAGGTCTTTGTTTTTTTATGTTGTGTTTGGTGTAATGTTGTTTGTCTTTTCTTCGTTTTTCGGTTTTTGACGTGGTATTGTCAGTTTGTTTTCGACATGAGTATGAATGACTGTTTGGGTATCTTTCGCCTCTCTTTTGAGTGCAGCATGTAGTGAAATTTAATCTATCAATATAAAAATAAGGAGATGTAGTATGATTGCAAATGAGACAACTATCCACCAAAGTTCAAATGAAGTGGAGGTAAGACTTTGTCAAATGATATGAAAAAAGTAAAATCACAAAAATACTGAACTCCGAGGAAAATTCAAAACGGAAAGTCCCTAATCAAATGGCAAAATCAAATGATAAAACACATCAAACGAATGGACAACAATTGTCATATTCCTGACTTGGTACAGGCATTTTCAAATGTAGAAAATGGTGGATTGAAGCTGATTTTATAGCGCTAAACCTCTCACTTGTATAACAGTCGCATCATATTTCATTATATTTACAACGATGCGTAAACAAAACAGACATAATAGGTAACATTGTCAAAATAAACAAACATTTAACAAAGAAGCACAACAAGCATGTATCAAATATAACAACCACATTCTTTGCTTACTTATATATGTATTATAAATCAACCCATAAAGGATTGAAATATTTAAAGTCCTGTGACTGCATTCACATCTACTCTTAGTGTAGAGTCGTGTTTGACGTGTATGAACGACTGGTATAGTTTAAACCCCGATTCAAAATCATTTAATGCAGTTTATTTTGGCACATTATTTATCTGTCAGTAATGCTCAAAGCCAAGTATCGCCGGAGGATAAAACGAATCAATATATCACAAACTATGACACCAAGATAAGTTTTGTTACGAGAATAATCTTTAAATCAGCCCAATGTTGTTCAGTTAACTACAAATTACGCAAGAAGCAACATCAAATTACATCATGCATGCCGTTGCAAAAGTATGACCTAAAGAGTTATTAATATCTGTTATATTTTCGATTGCACTGACCAAGGACTAATCTTAGTATACAAAATACCCAACTTCAATAAATCTAAGTGCTCGTAGGGAGTTTTTGCCAAAGCAATGATTAACCATGTACTTTCGTGTCCATTACTGCAGTCTGTCCAATCTGTCCAGTTTTAATGTGACATGTGATCTGCTTACCCTTCCGTAGGACCAGAGATCAACCCCAGTTTCTGGTTTAGTTCGTGTTGCTCAGTCTTTAGTTTTCTTTGTTGTGTTTTGTGTACTGTTGTTTGTATGTTGGTCTTTTTCTCTTTTAGCCATGGCATTGTCAGTTTATTTTCGACTTATAAATTTGAATGTCCCTTTGGTATTTTCAGCCTCTCTTTTATATACTTAGTTAGATATAAAAAAAAGTTGTTCAACTAAAATAAACGAGTATTATATAAAATGTAAAATTAATATACAGAACATCTGATTTCTAAACGATATATCAGTTCAAAAGATACATAGCAAATTATGATAAAAGAGGGACGAAAGATACCAGAGGGACAGTCAAACTCATAGATCGAAAACAAACTGACAACGCCATGGCCAAAAATAAAAAAGACAAACAGACAAATAATAGTACAGATGACACAACATAGAAAACCAAAGACTAAGCAACACGGACCCCACCAAAAACTGGGGGTGATCTCAGGTGATCCGGAAGGGTAAGCAGATCCTGCTCCACATGTGGCACCCGTCGTGTTGCTTATGTTATTACAAATCCGGTAAATAGTCTAAAATGTGGGATCTGCAGTTTCTCAATTCTTAACTCGAACTGTTCGAGAAGGTACGATTCACTTTAAAGTTTGTGAGTCGCTATTTTGTTCAAATAATAGTAGAAAAATTCGTTATTATACCTTCAAATGGAACAAATGATATTCAAACTACCTACATGTATTTTTTTACTTTGATTCTAAATACAAAAAGCAGATGTTGTATGGATTGGTCAATTACTAATTATATTTTTGATTTTATTAGCACATTTTTTTGCTGACTTTTTTTATTTATTTTGATTCAGATAGTTCACGGTTTTATCAAAATAATAACAGCAAAGATTTGTCTATCAGACATATAACATCAACAAAGGTAAATTAAAATTAAAAAGTAACCGCTCTACTGTATTATTAGTATATTGAATTAGTAAGTAATTTGATAATGTTGGACCATGATTATGTTTCTTTATGCACATCCTTAGGTATTGTTCTCCAAATTGTTAAAAGTGCTATCAATGTCCCGTCCGTATGCATGATGAATGCTCACAAGGTGTATAGACAGACGAAAAATACCGTTATAAATGCCGTCAAGGCAACAGTGGGCTACCGATATTTAAATATCGGTACAATCAAGGTACCAAACAGAAAAAAAAACAGGGAATCGCATAAACTCCATAAGTAGCGAATCCTTGTGCGTCGACAGCGTAATTGTCTCCTGCAATGTATTTACAGCCGCCCGCTATGTGAAACGCCTCCCACTCAAAATTGTCGCTCTTCAGTTGGTAAACAGATACACGACAGGGTGATTCCTTCATACCCCATAACTGTATATGTGGGGTCATAGTAAAAAGACACTACCTAAAAATAATGCATTTTCTGACTCAAGAACTTTTTTGTGTCAAATCCAGCAAATCGTGTCAATACCAGAATCATGGCAAAAGTAATTGTAAGTGGAAAATGCAGCGGTCAACGTTATCTGTGGCAAGGGAAAGTTCCAGATTAAGTACTACATAGTTGCATTTCATTCATTTTTTCAGATATAATAATCGATTTTGTTTGTTTTTTTTAACATTTAATAAAAATATTTTTTCACGTTCTGAAACTTACAAAATGCTTCAGCATTTCATGTTGCTTACTGCAGGACAATATGGTATACCGTACATTGGGATTTTGTCGCGGGTGTTGAATTTTCGCTTTGTTTGCGAAAGGAAAAAACACGCTAAAATTTCACCCTGCTTTTATTTCCTGCACATTCCAAGATTTATCGTTGTTTAAAGTGTTCATACTTTATACTGTTTATCATCGAGTATTTACAAAATCAATATGTTAACTCTTTTCATCGTAAAGGGTAACTAACATAATGGATAAAATCGATCTTTTTGATTGATCAACAGATCAGAAAAATGTGCATTTTTAGTTAAGATCTCTGTTTTTATATTAACTTAATTGGCTAATCAAACACTTAGTCTTATACATGTTAAATCAGCAATCAGTTGCATCGTCATCAATATTAATCAACGACTATCAATTGAAAGTTGTCAAAACCAGACCATTGTTTGCACAGTTTGTAAAATAAATATATTTACACAGATTCATTTGCTGAAATATACTTTAACATGTTTAAAAAAAGTATGCCGCATTGTACATAGTTCACTTTACTTGAGTGTTTTCCGAATTCAAAGAATGTGAATTTAAATGTGTAGTGCTCGTATTTATTTTTTTGGTTCGTTCTTTCTCGGCATATCAGGTTTATGTTATTTACATCATGAAACACTACTTTGATTTTGTTCTCAAGTATTTTCCCTATCAATGGCAATAATGCAGAGTGAAAATGTAATTTTCCCTTTTGTCGTCAAATCACGGTTAAAAGCAGACGCGAAAAAAAGACACGATATACGGTATGATTAGATCTTTAAGATTATTATTACCTTTAAAAGTTAGAACTTATTGTAAATGTAACACTAATTAATTACTATTTTATTGCATATGTTTATGTTTTAATGAACAGAAGGTTATTGTACGTTCCCCAAATCGTATTTTATACCCACAATTTGATTTGGATAATGTTTATCAAAACTGGACAGACAAAGCTACATTGTCAAGATCACCAGGAGAAACGTATAGACGTAAGTTTATATTATGCGTCATAAACCCATTTTTTTGTTGTTGTCAAAGGGGTATAGAACACCTAGGGAAGTTACCTTTATAAAAATCAGTTGAATGTTTTAATCACATGCTATTATTAAAGAGAAATCAAGCATCTCCATGATCGAAATTGGTGTTTGTCAAACTGCTACATATCTAAATGAAACTATTCCTGTAAATTGCATGGATCAAATTTCTTTAAATTTTTATATTTTTTTCTATCAGGTCATGCTTTGTTAGTCATATGATTGTGCAACATATTTCCAAATGGAAAAAAAGAGGGACGGTGGGAGGGGTTTGCCATCCCGAATTCCCGAAAAAAAGACATTCTTATCCGGATCTCGAAAAATTAATAATCAATTCTCGAGTCCCTATAAGTGTAATCGACACCACGAAAAGGTCCTTCCGTCCCTCAAAAAAGGTATATATTGACAAGTTGCATAGCTCAATGATGTTGATATTTATCAATTAGATAAAATCCGTCATCCTTTTGTATTGTTTCAATTATAAATGTGAATTAAGCTTTCATTATACGATAAATTTTAAACTACTATCATAGTGAACCGTTTTTTTTTTTTAAGAAAAATGTGCTTGCACATAAACGCATATTTTAAAATGTTATAGGAATTAAGTAATGCTACGTAGTATGTTATCCCAAAAAAAGAGAAAAAAGATGATGTTATCGAATATTTAGGTAAATGTCGTCTTCTGACTTTTTAAATGATCAAGGGCTGAATGTATGGGGTCACAAATATTTATAAATCTATGTAGTCGATTTCTACCGTTTACCATTTATGGGGTATAATATTTCATGATGAAAATATGAATATGGTAATTATGTTGCCTAAACTAAATAGAAAAATGATCATTTCTTTTTAATCTCTTTCGTAGGATATTTGACTATAGGTCTGGTGACGGCAAAGCGACCAAAGAACACTGTTTACCTCTACGATACACTGAGCTCTCTCATTACAAATGCTAATAGTGAAGACTTCAGAGAAATCTATATCGTTATAATGCTTTCAGATTTGGACCAAAAGTGGAGGACAAATATAACTTCAGCAATCATAAATAAATATCCACAGGAAGTTAAAAATGGAACTATCAAAATAATTGGGAGCTTTGATTGGATGTATCCAAAGTTACAGAATCTCACACACCATCGTAAATGGCATTCACAATCAAAATCCACGTGGATAGCAAAACAAAATATAGATTTCGTTCTATTATGGTTGTATGTATATAAAACGAGGCTTTCAAAGTTTTATTTGCATCTTGAAGATGACGTCATAGCAGTTGAAGGATACACCAAAGCTATGAAAAATTTCATCAACCAACAGAAAGGGGAGTGGACGTGTTTAGAGTTTTCTGAACTTGGCATGATAGCTAAATTATATCATACACATGACTTAGAAGCACTTGCTAAAATGGTAGCTTTATTTTACCAAGAACAACCTGCAGACTTTTCTTATTTACAATTTAATCCACAGATGCTTCAATTTCGTCGTATAATAAGGAAACCGACGCTGTTTCAGCATATGGGGATAACTTCCTCACAATGGGGTTATGTACAGTCACTCAAAGACCGATTCTTTGTGGGAAATGTTCATAAAGAAATAGGGGATAATCCAACCGCAATAGTATTGACAAATTTAAAGTTTCTCCCAGAACATTCACCTGAGCATGTATACAATACCAGATATGGCTATTTCTGGTCCAAATCTAAGCCGAAGAAAGATGATTACTTTAGAATTGTATTCAACAAACCTCAAGCTATTGAAAGAATTGTTGTCAATTCTGGGTTAGATATATTTCCAGCAGACAAAGTGTACAACGCCGTATTAGAAATAAGCTCAAAGAATAATAACAGAAACGATTGCATAGACTACAATATAATAGGAAAGTTTGTGAATGGTAAAGTTGACGTTCAAAATGTCCCTTTTCCATTGAATACAACCAAAATACGTTGTATTCAAATAAGGTTTCAAAACTCACAAAACTTTTGGGCGATCATTCAAGAAATATCAATTTTTCTAAGGCGCTGAGCGGTGTAAACGAAACTTGCAAATTTTATCAAATTATAAAAAGGAATAAAAAAAATTCTCTTAAAATATTATGCTTTTTCTGATTATTTCTTTAAAAATTATAACATAACTGAGAATATAGGAAATAAGAGAATAAGTTATGCAGCTATGTATAAGGGTCTGGATTGGAGGTCCTTAAATTATGTTATATTAATTTTTAAGGGGGTTCGCGGGTATAAATCTTTTATTTTTTTTAAACATAGGATTTTGCTATATTTTTCTAAAAATGAACTTTATCATATACTTAATAGAAAAATAAAATAAAAAAATGGGGTCACCGTTCATTTAAGCTTACAATCTGTCTTCGAAAGAAGCATACATGTTTGTACAGGTACTTTTTTTTCTGTTAAACTAATAGGAGAAATAGAGGTAATATTGAAATAAAAAAAGAACTAAATTACAGAAATCGCTCAGATTTTACAATAGTTTAGTTTGAGTACAGCTTATTTGAAAAACATAATAAAAAATATAAGTCACCGATGAGTTAAAAAAGATATTTCAATTTTAATGCAAAAAAATGGCATTTTTGCACCAAAGGGAGATATTAAAAGTCATCTTGGGCTAAAACAAATTGATTTTTTTGGTTGATTTTTGTACCATATGAAAGAGTAACAACTAATAAAGTAATAAATAAAATTTGTAATGAAAAAAAAAATGTTTAAATTTTTGCTGAAATGTTTGTACCCTCGAGCCTCCTTGAGTCAATTTTCTCTATTCTTTATATTTTAACAGTCCGTTATTCTCTATACTTCATTTTTTGCCTTTTTTTCTATTCATTATTTTTTCCCCCCTTTTTTCTGTAATATTGGCCCATTCTCTCTTCTGTTAACCTCATCCAGACGCTCATATATTCGAGCGCGTACATCCATCACGGGACTTTTCATGCTAAACAATACGACATAAGATAGGCGTCCTCATTAATATACTTTTGGAAAAGGGATATTGCCATGAATATCATTATCTGAAGGTTTGAAACTGCATGTGTGCGAATCCAATATCTAATCCTAGCTGGAAGTTACCAGATTAAATTGATTGTTTTGTGGAAAATTAAAATGTCGAGACAAATAAACTCAAGAACAATCCTGAACACCATACACTAAAAAAATGAAAGATTAAGAAATACGAACTTTTCACAGTTGCCTCTGCACTTGCAATTTTCTTCAACTTGTGTTTCACATTTGTGCTCATCACGTGTATATCACACCGGTCAAACGTTTACATTACATGCATTTTACACACATTTTCTAGTGTTGTAATCAATGAAAACAATTGTATCGTTAGGTTTAGTGATCCAACTAAACTCGGTGTCCTTGGAAAAGTTGTAACCAACTAAATAGTAATTATAACCCTGTGGAAATTAGAGACAAATATAATATAATATTCATCATACACGTTCTTTTTTAACAGACTAGACATAAGCATAACTATTGTGGACTATTGGTCACCTATTTTTCGAAGAATTTTTTGAAAAAAAATTGTAACATCAATTTTATTATCAATTACATACAACAAATAGTTTTTTTTCAATTTATGATTAAATTACTAAAGTTCATATTTTCGACACATTTTTTCATTGGATTTTCATTTTCATTAATTTGAAATATATTGATATCCTGACATAAGTAGCCGTGCTTGATTTCGAAAAAAAAAGAGCATTGAAAATAGGATTTTTTTGTAATTGTGCTGAAATTATGTGTTAACTTCAAATTTCCTGAAACTGGTATATTTGCTAAAAATATGATATTTGAAAATAAGAAGACGTGCTGTGATTGCTAATCTAATGAGGCAGCTCTCCACCACAGACCAAATGACGTAGAAGTAAACAATAATAAAGTCTACGTACGCCATTCAACAGTGAGCAAAACCCATACCGCAACTTGGTTTTATTTAAAAACCCTGTTCAGTGTGCATTAGTGAAAAATACAAATTACAGTACAGCAGTGTTGTTTGAATTCCAATTAAAACTTTATTGAATATATGTATAACATACCAAATTCTTTGAAATTTGCCGTCCGTTCTTTAGCAGTTTTACTAGGTTCTTAGTAAAATAATGTTTAAAATATACATATTGTTTTTACAAAATTACCTAGACGATTATAAAGAATGTTTTGGATTTTCTTTTATAAAATTGCATTCGTATTATTTCTTTGATAAAAAATATCAAAACTTTGCTGTTCGTTCTTTTTCAAGTGTTTGTAAATGCAGCTTTTGTGTGTAATTCTATGGTAAATTCAGTTGAAAAGCCAACTACATGTAACTTCTTTTTTACAAGGCTTAATGCGACAAAATTCCGAAAACTTCAAGTGAAATTATATGACACTAATCGAAGAATTCAAATATGAAAAAATATTCAACTCGTGACCGAACAAGACTTAAGATATAATTCAAGGGTGGCTTGAATTTATATTGATTTTACCACGGGTTGACCCTTTATATAAATATTTTACCTAGATCAATAGCGAGAGGTAAACATATCGGCATAAAGTACTTTGACCTATAATGGTTTTCTTTTTAAATTTTGACTTGGATGGAGAGTTGTCTCATTGGCACTCATACCACATCTTCTTATATCTATATAAAGTGCCAACCAAAGGTAAAATCCTTTTCGATTGGCCATTTGATGAGTGTTCTGCTTCCTATTTCATTTGATAACGACTTAAGGTAAGCTTTGGTACCCGTTTGTACTTACACGAATAATTTTCAATATAAAGTACTTGAAAAGAGATTTAATCATATACAAATACAATAACCCTGAAAATCATAAGACTACATTCATGTGTTTACTGTATTTCTATTATATGCTGTTCCTTTGGTATATATATATATACGTTTTATGGTGGATAAATTGTGAGTATAGTATCATTTGAGGTTTTAGAAAAATCACACTCTTAATTACTGATCATGAATAAGATTGAGTATTGGAACAAAATTTCGTGGAGCGTCAGTTCCATAAAGTATGAGAATACTTCTAGATGGAACCTAAAATTATAGTAGATGGAACCTAAAATTATAGTCGACAATAATTCTATAGTTAACTAAAACTAGCCACAACAAACCAAGTGATCGCTTCTTTCAAATCATAAATTAGTGTGATTTCTGATTTATTGATTATATGTTGCTTAACATCCAGAGTAAAATTTTTCATTCATGTTCTCATTGACTTATTACCCAAATGTGTATTATACGAATATTCTTGAACGTACAAGAAACTCATTAAAATCACTTATTACCAAACGATTCTCATTCCAGTGGGGAAACAGATAAGTCTGCAATTGGATCAAAGCCCTCTAATCCAGCTGCTCGTATCTGCTTATCTGACCAACTTCCACACATTTGCTAATCATAAACGGACTACACAGTACCAAGGTTCAAGTTTTCACTTAAGACACTCACAACGATTTTAAAATGAATCATATGCAAGAAATCGAAATACCATCGGATGGAAAAGAAACAGCCTGTCATCTTGGACTGCAGCTTGAAAAGTGAATACAGGTGTTTTCGTTACTTCTCGTGTGATGTCACTTACGATATAGAAAAATCGCAATTGTTATCACACTATAAGTAACTGAACAAAATTGACTATTGAAATGAAATTGCGGTCCGCTCTTAGGACAAAATATAAACTCGAAGATCTTTGAAGTCTGTTTAAACCATTTAAACAAAATTAAACCATTTAACCCAAATAAAAAGATCCAAAAACTCATCCAAAACTCAATTTTTCTTACTAGATAGGCTACCTGACGGGAAGTCAATTTTTAACTGAAATCTCTAACCATATAATTGGTCTCTGGTGGAAAGTTGTCTCATTTGTAATCGTACCACGTCTTCTTATTCTTATGTTTACTAGTATAATAAATTATTTCTTACCTATATAACATGTTACTTTTATTATTCTTCCCTTAGTTTATTTATTTTGTATTTACATTGTGTCAAAGGTCAAATGTATTTGTTCAGTGTATGTTCAGTGGTATTAATATGTCCTTTGATTGAGTTAAGCTATTTCAGTTGATATTTTATAGTGTGTCTTTCTATGTTGTGATTTTACACTATTGTTTCAGAAAAAAGGTGAAGGTTTGGTACCATTAAAACGTTTAAACCCGCTGCATTTGTTTGCACCTGTTCTAAGTCAGGAATCTTATGTTCAGTAGTTGTCGTTTGTTGATATGGTTCATAAGTGTTTCTCGTTTCTCGTTTTTTATATAGATTAGACCGTTGGTTTTCCCGTTTGAATGGTTTTACACTTGTAATTTTTTGGGGCCCTTTATAGCTTACTGTTCGGTGTGAGCCAAGGCTCCGTGTTGAAGACTGTACTGTGATCTATAATGGTTTAATTTTATTAATTTTGACTTGGATGGAGAGTTGTCTCATTGGAACTCATACCACATCTTCTTATATCTATTTACACCGAATAACTGAATTTTTTTTTAATTAACAATCAAAACTCATTATATCATATGACATAACATTTATTATGCAAACACAATCAAGGTAAATTCTAACAAATATCAAATCCCTATACTGTCACAATATCCACAGTAGTAGTAATACACATCCAAAAGGCTTGAGAAAGAGTTGTTGAATCACCAAATATATCATAGATATCTCTAGCACGATTTGGGGTATTGAACACTTTTGAGAACATGTTACCAACAGACGCTCTATATCTCTGTACCGTTGTAACTTATGGTTTATGAGAATAAAGATTGTGTGTTTATCAACTATTTTATCAAGTCTGGAATATTTGTCATAACAACCTTTGGAAAACCAACCAACATGATTCATTATGTCATTGGTAGACTCATATCCAGCAACCCCAAGAGTAATAGCACACCCACTCCTAAAGCTGTGCTGTGTTTCCCCCTTTCGATAATGATTTTGGTCTCTAAACGGCAATAGATCGAAATCAAAATGGTTATTTTCAACAACTTCCTCAGTCGTTACTCTTCGGAAGTGAGAATGGAGAACTTCTCCTCTGTAATTAACTCATGACAACTCTCAGTTGTATCGTAAAAATTTTGAAGGTTCAAAACATGAATCGGGAATATTTGGATGAAATCTTTTCCCATTTACTCTCATAATTTCAGTCTAAAAATAAAAAGGAAAAAAATAAAGGTAAAATTACAGAGAAAAATTTAACCAACTTCCATTTCGCGTGACTTATTTAGCCACTAAAGGATTAGACCCTCCTGGAAATGAATTCCGAAGCTACAAAAATAAAATTTAAAAGAAACGCATTAAATAATAATAATTGTTGAAGTTAACTTTATATCCTTGATTACTCTTTCTTAAACTTTGGACATTCATTCAAATACCGGTAACTGATTTTTATAGTTCGTTTTTATGTTGAACTTTCCATTTCTATATAGCAACATTCCAGCAGCGCCTGCATACGGAGTATATATATCCCAATTGATACGATATTCCCGGGCTTGTATTTCATATTATGATTTCCTTGCTAGAGGATTGCTGCTCACAAGGAAGCTATTAAACCAAGAGTTCCAAATTGTGAAGTTGAAATCATCCCTTCGTAAATTTTACGGACGCCATCACGAGTTGGTTGACCGTTATGGAATAACCGTTTCACAGATGATATCGGATATTCCTTATGTCGTAACTACAATACCCTTTCCTTTTCACGAATGTGACCTACGGAATTGGACTATTTACCGGATTTGTAATAACATAAGCAACACGACGGGTGCCACATGTGGAGCAGGATCTGCTTACCCTCCCGGAGCATCTGAGGGGGCTTTTTTAGCTGACTATGCGGTATGGGCTTTGCTCATTGTTGAAGGCCGTACGGTGACTTATAGTTTTTAATTCATGTGTCATTTGGTCTCTTGTGGAGAGTTGTCTCATTTGCAATCATACCACATCTTCTTTTTGATACACGACACACATATATATATATATATATATATATATATATATATTATTGAATTAATAAATTAAATAAAGATCCATTTTGTTACATCTTGTGATCCGTTTATTTGGCAATCGCCAATGGCAGTCAGCAGGGTTTAAGAACATCCGTTGTTCGACCTGTTAGTCAAATGCGTTTTGTTTAAATATAGTTTTTCACTTTATTGGTCTTTTGGAAAATGTTGTTTGTGCTGTATTTAGACCCCTCTACCAAGAAATTTGTTTTGCATGCACACGTATAAAAATTGCGGTTTTTATCCAACGCAATCATAGGTTTAAACGTTGTTTTCAATTTAGACTTATTTATATTTTTTCGTTTGGGCTTGTATTATATTTGCCTTCGGATTTATATGATCCGTTCATCCTATTTCGACTCTTTAAAATTCAAGAGTCTATCCTTAATTGAGATAAATTATATGGCCTTCCAAATACCGTTTCGATTCCTAACATCACTGAAGAGACATATAATGTTAACAATAAGCAAATGATTGAGTAGTATCATCATCATAAACATAATTTTTAAAACAGGTTTTCAACTCCATATTAAAAATAACCCATTAATATGGTGTTCCTGCCAAAATCAATCAAACACTAAACTTTGAAAAACACTATTAAAGTACTCAACAGCATAAAAAACGATCAAATATATATCCTTGTGTTGACTTTATTAACAAGTATAAATTAGAGTGACAAACAAGAAAAAAAATTGCCGTAATTCAGATTGTTTAAGTACTGTCACTTTAAAACAACATATCAAAATGTTTTAAAAATCAAAAGGAAGCTTTCTCCCATCAACCCGAATGTTGTTTTAACATTACGAGAGAAAGAGTTTTAGAAATTTTGAGCTCTAATCCAAAAACTGGAACCCCTCCTTTTGTTTTTGTTGTTGTAAAAAGTCCCATCAGTCCGAAACGTTAAATGAGAAATTTATAAAAGTCGAAAGGGAGCTTAAGTCAATAAATATAAACAATTTACCAAAGTTTCAAGGAAATTGGTGAAAGGTTTTTGAGTTAAGAAAGAAGTGTTGACGACAGACGAACTGACAACGAAAAACTATAATATGTCCCGTTTTAAAACGGGCGTATAAAAATTATATAAATACTTGACCTGTGTTTTTTTTTTTTCATATTAACCCATTCAGTGATGGCTGCAGAAATCTTGTTATCGTCATTAGAACCTAACAGTTTTA